CCTCCTCCTCCTCCTCTTCCTCCTCCTTCTCGACCTCCTCACTTTTTCCGAACCGCCCTGTGCAGTTGGGTCCCCGTTTTCAAGAGACAGCGCCCCGCGTCTCACTCCCACCTTCCGCTGCCCCTCCTCCCCCCTCCCATCCTTGCCTCTGCCCTCAGAATGTGCTCCCGAGCTCCAACTGAGGCCCAAATGCCAGGTCTGCATGGCGTCGCCGCTTCATTTCGGAACATCACGGGGAGCTCCAACTAAGGCCAACATACCAGGAACCGCATGGCGTCGCCGCCTTTTCTTCGGCAAGCCCCACACACGCTTCGTCGCCCAATAGAGAGTTCCAGCGAAGGCCCAAATGCCAAGGTCCGCATGGCGCCGCCGCCTTGCTTCTGCACACCCCTCACACGTTTCGGGCCCCATACGGAGCTCCACCGAAACTCCAGCGCCAAGGTCCGCATGGCGTCGCCGCCTCATTTCGGCACACCCCTCACACGCTTATCGCCACATAGGGAGCTCCACCGAAGACCCCAATGCCAGGGTCTGCATTGCGTCGCCGCCTTATGCGGGCACAACCCTCACACGCTGCGTGGAGCTCAAAGTAAAGCCAAGATGCCAGGGTCGGCATGGCGTCGCCGCCTCATGTCTGCACACCCCTCACGATCGTGACCCGATAGAGAGCTCAAACTAAGGCCCAAATGCCAAGGTCTGCATGGCGCCGCCGCCTCATTTCGGCACACCCCTCAGGCATTCCGTGGCCCCGTAGGAACTCCACCGAAAACCCCAGTGCCAGGGTCCGCGTCCGCATGGCGTCGCCGCCTCATTTCGGCACACCTTTCGCGCGTTTTGTGGCTCCAAATGAAGTTCCATCGAAAGGCCAACATCCACAATCCGCATGGCGTCGCCGCCTCACTTCGGCACACCACTCACGCGTTGCGTCGCCCCATAGGCAGCTCGAACGAACACTTCAGCGCCAAGGTTCTCATAGCCCTCCCAAACTCGCTTCGAGGCCCCATAGAGAGCTCCACCCGAAGGTCCCAGAGGCAGGGTTCGCATGCGCTTCCCCGCCCATTTCGGCACACACCTCACACGTTTCGTGGCCCTATCGGGCGCTCCACCGAAGGCACCAGTGGCAGGGTTCGCATGCGGTTCACTGCCCATGTCGGCACACCCTTCACACGTTTTGCGGCCCTATAGGGAGCTCCACCGAAGGCCCAGTGGCAGGGTTCGCATGCGTTTCCACGCCAATTTCGGCACACCAGTCACACACTTCGTGGCCCCATACGGAGCTCCACCGAAGGCCCTAGTGGCAGGGTTCGCATGCGATTCCCCGTCCATTTCGGCACAAACCTCACACGTTTCGTGGCCCTACAGGGAGCTCCAAGGGAAGGCCCCAGTGGCAGGGTTCGCATGCGGCTCACCACCCATTTCGGCACACCCGTCACACGTTTCGCGGCCATCTGGGTAGCTCCACCGACGGCTCTTGTTGCCGGCCCCATAGGGAGCTCCACCAGCAGCTCCAGCGGCAGGGTTCCCATATGGCTCCCCGCCCATTCTGGAACACCCCTCACACGCTTCGTGGCCCTATAGGCTCCACCGAAGTCCCCTGTAGCAGGGTTCGCATGCGGTTCACTTGCCATTTCGGCACACCCTTCACACGCTTCGTGACCCGATAATGGGGAGATGCACCGAAGACGATCCTCTGGAATGCGATACTCGCAACTGCATATGGTCAGGCCGCTCGCTGGGAGAATTCCCCCAATCATTCTGTGGTGTTGGGTCCTCGCTTGGAACCTCCAGCGCCCCACAACTCCCATCCGTTCCTCTTTCCTCCCCCTCCTCCCCTCCCTGCCCCTGCTCTCCGCATTCAAATTTTGGCACCCCTCACCCAACTCGTGGCCACACATGCGGAGCTCCACCGCAAACTCCAGCGCCAGGGTCCGCATGGTGGCACCGCACCCAAACATCGGCACGCGCCTCACACGCTGCGGGGACCCATGGGGAGCTCCACCGGCAGCCCCCGCGGCAGGGTTCGTGGCCCACGAAAGAGCTCCACCGAAGGCCCCATTGGTGCACGGCTTCCCCCGGGGCCGTAGGCGACCCGAGGAGGAGGAGGAGGAGGAGGAGGAGGAGGAGAAGGAGGAGGAGGAGGAGGAGGGGGAGGAGGAGGAGGGAGAAGAAGAAGAGGGGTCGCCTAAGCCCTTCGGAGAAGCCCTCCATCCATCGGCAAGGTTCGAGAAAGCTTCCACGCCAGTGTCGGCAAACCCCTCACACGCTCCCTGGCCCTGTATGGGGGCTCCACGCAGCGCCCCAGCGACACCGCGCCCGCTTGGCATCCCCCTCACGCGCCTCGCCGCCCCAGTCGCGCGTCGAGTAGACCCCTCCTTTAGAAAGCAACTGCTGGGAGGTCTTCGTCGGAAAGATTGAAAAGGATTAAGCCTCATTGCGGGGCTGTTACGCCAGAGTGGGCTTCGGATTAAGCAGGATTAAGCGGGGTCAAGCTGGATTAAGC